TTTCTAATCCCCAGATCTCAAAGCACTTTACAAAGGAGGTTACTATCCTTAGACCCCATTTTACAGATGGGGAAATTGAGGCACAGAAAGGGGAAGTGACTCACCCAAAGTGACCCAGCACACCAGTGGCAGAGCTGGGACTATAACCCAGGTCTCCCAATCCAGTGCTCTATCCACTAGGTCACGCTGCCTAATATTAAAACTTACTTTTAGATTGGAAGCTCTTTATGGCAGAGACTGGCTTTGGACCTGGGCAAAATTTTTCAGACAGAACTCCACCCTTCCCAAACTAAATATATAGTCAGTTTGATCAAAATATTTCACAAATTCATGCAGAACTACTAACTGTGGTATGTAGCCTATCATTTAAATCAGACACTGTGCCAGATGACTGGCAGATAGCTAAGGTGACACCAATTTTTAAAAAAGGCCTCAGAAGTGATCCTAGCAAATACAGGCCAGTCAGCCTAATTTCAGTACCAGGCAAACTGGTTGAAAGGATAGTAAAGAACAGAACACAAGACACGTAAATAAACAGGATTTGTTGGGAAAGAGTCAACGTGGCTTTTGTAAAGGGAAATCATGCCTCACCAATCTATTAGAATTTTTTGAGGGGGTCAAACAAATATGCAGACAAGGGGTATCCAGTACATATAGTGTACTTGGACTTTCAGAAAACCTTTCACAAGGTCCCTCACTAAAGACACTTATGCAAAATAAGCAGTTATGGGATAAGAGGAAATCATGAATCAGTGGTTAAAAGAGAGGAAACAAAAGGGTAGGAATAAATGGTCCGTTTTCAGAATGGTGATAGGTAAATAGTGGTGTCCCCCAGGGATCTGTACTGGACCAGTACTGTTCAACATATTCCTAAATGATCTGGAAAAAGGGGGAAACAATGAGGTGGCAAAATTTGCAGATGATACAAAATTACTCCAGATAGTTACATCCAAAGCTGACTGTGCAGAGTTACAAAGGGATCTCTCAACACTGGATGACTGGGCAACAAAATGGCAGATGAAAATCAATGTTGATAAATGCAAAGTAATGCACATTGGAAAACATAATCCCAGCTATACATACAAAATGATGGGATCTAAATTCACTGTTATCACTCAAGACAGATTTTGGAGTCACTGTGAGTAGTTCTCTAAAAATAATATCTGCTCAATGTGCAGCAGCAGTCAAAAAATTAACAGAATATTAAGAACCATTGGGAAAGAGGTAGATTATAAAACAGAAAATATCATTCTGCCACTATATAAAGCCATGGTATGTCCACACCTTGACTACTGTGTGCAGTTCTGGTCACCCCATTAGAATTGAAAAAGATACAGAGAAGGACAACAAAAATGATTAAGGGTATGGAACAGCTTCCGTCTGAGGAGAGATTAAAAAGACTGGGACTTTTCAGCTTGGAAAAGAGACAACTAAGGGGGGATATGATAGAGCTCTATAAAATCATGAATGGTGTGTAGAAATGAATAAGGAAGTGTTATTTACTCCTTCATGTAACAAGAACCGGGGTCACCCAATGAAATTAATAGGCAGCAGGTTTAAAACAAACATAAGAAAGAACTTCTTAACACAACAATACTGGTGTGAGTGAGGTTCTGTGGCCTGCAATGGGCAAGAGGTCAGACTAGATGATCATGATGGTCCCTTCTCACCTAAAGTCTATGAGAACACACAGTCAGCCTGTGGAACTCATTGCAAGGGGATGCTGTGAAGGCCAAAACTATAACTAGGTTAAACGAAAATTAGGTAAGTTCCTGGAGGATACAGCCATCAATGGTTATTAGCCAAGATGATCAGGAATGCAACCCCATGCTCTGGGTGTCCTAATCCTCTGACTTGCAGAAACTGGGACTGGATGACAGGGGTGGATCTCTCGTTAATTGCCCTGTTCTGTTCATTCCCTCTGAAGCATCTGGCATTGGCCACTTTTGGAAGACAGGATACTGGGCTAGATATAGGGTGACCAGATCACAGAGGCGAAATATCGGGACGCGGGGGAGGCAAGGGGGCGGAGCCAAAAAATAAAAAGCCAGTGGGGAGAAAAAAAAAAAGCACGAACAAGCTGGAAGCGCCTAGGCTGGCGCCGGCCACACGCAGATGTAAACAGCGGCCCCCAGGTCCCGGGATGCAACAACCCCCGCCCGGAGCCCGAGGACTGACACCCCGATGCTGCAGAGATGGGCATGGACAGGGGGAGTGGGCGCCAGCGTGTGGTAGCCCCTTCCCTGGCAGGCTCCAGCTCCCCGCGGGCCCGGGAGTGCGGAGCTGTAGCTACCTTCGTGCTACTGGGCTACACCCTGCTGGAGAAGCGGAACCTTGCCGCGGCCCCCAGGCCGGGACTCGCCCAAGCATCGCGGGACGGGATCTCCTCACCTAGGGTTGAACACCCAGCCGGGCACGCACTGCTCCCCCCGCCCTGCCCCCCGGAGGCAGACAAACTCACAAATTCTAATTATCCCCAGCACCGTGGTGGAGCCGCCGCCCGACCGGCCCTTCCAGCTGCTCCTCCGCCTCTCCCTCGCCACGTGTCAGGCAGAGGCATGCGCCTGGCACCCGGCGCCAACTACACCCCTCTGGGGCCGGGGCGCATGTGGCGGAGGTGAAGCCCCGAGGAACCGGAGTCCCCACGCGGACAGCTGCTGCCCCCCCACTCCCACTCATGGGCGCGAAGGGAGCCGGTTCCCCAGGCCGGACCCGGGGCTGCCCCTCTGCAGGTATCCCCCCGCCCTCCTGCCTGCGCTTGAGCCAGGGCCAGGCCAGACTCACCCCGCCGTCCCTGGACCTCCTCCCTCCAGCGCTTGCCTGGGAGGGAGGAGGAATGTGGCGTGCTTCAGAATGAGGCGGAGATTTGGGGAGGGATCCAATGGGGGAAGGAGGGGGTGGAGTTGGGGCGAGGGAGGGGGCGCGAGCCAGAGCAGAGGGCAAAAATTGCTTGTTTGTCCAGTGTCCCGACCAAACATTGGTCGGGACATGGGGCAAACGAGCAAATATTGGGACAGTCCCGATAAAATCGGGACGTCTGGTCACCCTAGCTAGATAGACCATTGGTCTGACCCAATATGTTGTTCTTTCATTCATGGAAAACAAATTGCTTTGGTCGAAACAAAGAAAAGAACTCCAAAAGAGTCAAAATGTTTTGTTTCAACATTTTCAAGACAAAATATTTTGATTTTTCTATTCAAAATGACTTTTCACTTTGACTTTACTTCCATTTTATTTAAGAAAAAAGGTTAAAACGCTCAGAAACGAAACAAAACATTCTGGTTTAGGTTGACTGAAACAGTTAGATCTGAAATTAATTTTTTTTAAAACTTTCTTTTCACTGAAAAGTTCAAAACATTTTCATTTCAGGTCAATCCGAAACTGATTTTTTAAAATTTATTTTTCAGATCCACCACTGAACCAAAGATCAGTTTGTTGCACAGCTCTATGGACATTTGCACTATGTATTTGTACAGCACTCAGCATAATAAGGCCCGGAATCAGTTGAAGTTCTTAAGCTTTTTGTAAGCTTGAAAGCTTCTCTTTCACCAACAGAAGTTGGTTCAGTAACAAGCTATTACCTCCCCCCACCATGTCTGCACAATAATACATACTCATTATAATAACTTAACTCACTTTTGTAAAGAGATCTACCAAGGTAAGCTGCTAAGTATTATTGTCACTACATGGGGAAGGCATCTCTCCATCATTTCAACATTCCAAGTCCTGCAAACCTTCTGCGTGTCCATAATTCTGCATAACCTTTGTAAAATACAGTCAGAGCTGGTGGGATGGTGTAAAAACCTATCAATTGTGACAAAGTTCCTCCTCTATCTTGGTGGGTCCTGCGCTTATTGGCGGATTTGCTCACTTCACAGATTCACCCTGTGGGTCAGGAAACAGTCCAGAGACCTTCCCCTCTGGTAGAAGCTATAGTCCAGGTCAATTCCTCCTGTGTTTGATCAGGAGTTGGGAGGTATCGGGGGAACTCGGGCCCGCCCTCTACTCCAGGTTCCAGCCCAGGGCCCTGTGGACTGCAGCTGTTTAGAGTGCCTCCTGGTACAGTTGCACAACACCTACAACTCCCTGGGCTACTTCCCCATGGCCTCCTCCTAACACCGTCTTTGTCCTCACCACCAGACCTTCCTTCTGATGTCTGATAACGCTTGTACTTCTCAGTCTTCCAGCAGTACGCCTACTCACTCTCAGCTTCTTGCACACCTCTTGCTCCCAGTTCCTCTCACACACTTCCTCTCCTCTGGCTCCCTGGCTTGACTGGAGTGAGGCCTTTTATAGCATCAGAGGGGCTTTAATTGGAGTCAGGTGCTTAACTGCCTCACCTGACTCTTAGCAGGTTAATTGGAGTCAGGTGGTTTATTAGCCTGGAGCAGCCCCTGCTCTGGTCACTCAGGGAACAGAAAACTTCTTATCCAGTGGCCAGTATATCTCCCTTCTGCTACTCTACTGTTCCCAACTGGTCTGGGTCTATCACACAATGAACAGTCCATCAAGGGAAGGAGTGTGACCTGCTTTCACGCTAGTGCAGAGAGGAGTCAGGCTGCATCATGGATTACTGCAAGAGTCTCCAAGGAGCAACTCTTCCTCCACCTTGCTGGTGGAGGAGTAGATAGATAGGGGCAGGGAATGGGCAGACCCACAGTTGAACCACTATCCACCCCTCTGACACACTGGCTGGAGTATATATCTGCAGCAGAGCACTTCCTCCCTGGAGCAAGAGGGAAACCAGATGCACAATTCCTTCCCAGGTCTGTTCCTGGGGCAGTGCAGCTACATGCCATCTCTGCCTCAGGCAGATTGGGAAGTGACAATCCAGCCCCAGATCTTGATTGTATCAAACATAAGCTACTTGTCGGCACTTTCGAGACCTTCCATGGGCTTTCTTCACCCTCCATCTCATCCAGTAGTGAAAGGTCGACTCCCACCTCCGACTGGCTCTTGATGCCAGCCTCCATCACCCACTTCCAGCCTCCATCACCCACTTATATTTTCAAACCCGCACCTTGGTATTTTCTTCCCTGCTCTTCCTTGTGCTTGGAGAAGCGCCCTGCGAACAGCCACAAAACTAACACATTATTCTCCTTTGGATCCCTCATTAAAACTCCTCTCTGCCATGAGGCCTACAGAAATCTTAATAACGGTTCAGCTGTGGGTGTGCAGAGCCCACAGCCAATCATATGGACCGGAGCAATCTCACTTCCTGGTGCTCCCACCTCTGTCCATCTCCATTGGTTGTCTCTTGGCTTATGCTTAGTTTGTAAGCCCTTCGGGGCAGGGATTGTTGTTTGGTTTGGTATTTGTACAGCACCTAGCGCAACGAGATCCTGGCCCACGACTGGGGCTCCCATGGTAATCTCTGTCTCCCTCTAGTGGCTAGACCACACCTAGAGATTTAAAAGCTTGCTCCTCCCTACAAGCTAATGTTATTGGACGCAAGACATAGAAGCTGGAGCTTTTAGAGGCAGAGATATGGGTTCAGTCATCACACAGGAGCCAAGGAGGAGTCTCATTACATGACTCGAGTGGGAAAAGCAGCCACACTGTTATTGTGGGTTACATACCCACCCCTACAGCTTAGAGTGGTTCTCAGTTTGGATTTATATGTCCCAGCTGGGGTTCATCTCTCATAAGCTCTCGGGGGCCGGGGCCGTCTTTTTGTTCTGGGCCATACCTGGGGCTCCTACGTGCTAGGGTCATACAAATCAATAACAATAGTCAGGCATGTTTCTGCGGGGGCCTGGACTCACTCCCCACAGCACAGGCCACAAACTCCTCTCTGCTCCGGGTTCCCCCTTACCGGAATCCGACAAAGCCGGGCTCACCAGGCTGAGCAGCTCCCGCTCCTTCTCATAGTCACTCTTACACAACAGCTGGCCTTCCTTCAGCACGAACTCATCGCCCTTCTGCAGCCGCCTCTCACAGACGCAGCAACAGAAGCAGCTCAGGTGGTAGACGCTCTTCTGGGCCCTCATGACGAACTCGCTGGGTGCGATGCCTTCAAAGCAGCCGCCGCACTTCACAGCGAACAGCCTGGCAGGAGAGAGAGAACGAACATGTTCCAGCGGGGCTGCCAACTTGCGGGCACCGTGACCCCTTCTGCTGGTTACCACCTTGCCCCTGAAGGGAGAGACACGCCAAATCTGTATTAAATAGACCTGTCCTCGTCTTTAATATGGAGCAGTGGCTTGTTGAGCCTGCACTGCAAATCCCAATGTCCAATGCTCCACCTTCCCTCTGTGGTCTATTGAGGACTGTGTTGGAATTGCAAGCTATCACTTTAAGAGTTGGGGGGTTTCCTGGTCCTGCTTGCAGCCTAGATGACTCTTTGGTGAAGCATGAGATCCAGGGCTCAGAGAGGCAGAGTCAGGCTGAAAGGAGCCAACCTAGAACATGGCGGGGTGAGTTGTGTCCCTGTTTTAGGGAGCAGCCTGCTTTGTCTTTCTCTGGTTTGGGATTCTCATGTGTTATCGCTCTGACCACTGAGAAATAAAGTAATGTTACACTGCAATCTTCCAGCAAGATTATCTGATGTTTCTAATCTAACTTTTCTGCGGGTGTGCCGTGAACATAACACCATCAGTTCAAGGTGGAGCATGGCATGATGGAACCTGTAGTATCCACGGGCCCATCGCTCCATTTTACGGTGCTTACTTCTGACAAATAAGAAAATAGTGGAGTCAAGAATTATGTAAATTAAGTAATTCACAACTTTCAATTACCTAAAGTGTTTGGGAAAAAAAGTACATACCATAATTAAACTGCAATACATTTCTAATCTCTGTGGGTAATAGAGTGTAGCAAAGTCCATTTTACTAATTATCAGAAGTAATAGAAGTGTTTAGTTTATTTATACTCAAGATATTAATAAGAATAAAGTCAGAGTTAAGGTCGGTAGTGGACTATGGTTCATTAATTAGTAAAGCAAGTACTAAGATACACAAAATAAAAGCTAGAAGTGCTGAAAAATATTTCTAGATACTGAAATGAAATTATCTGAAATTTCCTTAACTACGTATTTCCCAAATTTTAAGGCATGAGGGTTTTGTTTATTTAATTGATAAAAGCTAAATGGAAACATACTTTTTTATCCTATGAATTAAAGGTAAAGGCAACTCCCAACCACATCATAAGCATCTTTGCCTTGTATTAGGTCCAAAAGGTGTCCTATGTCTACCCACAAGGAATACAGAGCTCTGTGTAGCTCAAAAGATTGTCTATTCCACCTATATAAGTTGGTCCAATAAAAGATCTCTCTCCCATTTTGTCTCTCTCATATCATGGGACTAACACGGCTACAACACTGCAAACAACAGTTTAAAAGCCATTTTCGTTTGGGAAGTTTAAAAACTGAATTATTTTTCATTGTTTTGGAAAATGTTCAATTTTTTGTCAAAAAAATGTGTTTCAGAATTGGGGTTTTTTTATATCCTATCTCTCCCTTTTTATTTTTTTTCTACTGAATGGACTAAAATGTCATCAATATTTCTCTTTTTCCCACTTTTTTTCATGTCATTTTTACTTTTGCAGTTCTGACACTTACAAAAAATTGAACACTTTTGCCAAAGTTACAGAGCAGCAAAAGGAAAAAAGAAAAGAAAAACCACAGACCTGGGCCCCGATTCTTCAACTATTTCCTCGTGTGCTCAACTTTGCTCCCTGAGCAGGTTTATTAATTCCAATGTGGTCTCACCTGCTAGGAAAGTTAAGCACCTGCAGAAGTGTTTGCAGGATCAGGGCCTAAAATTTTTAATTCCAGTTTCATCAAATAAAGAAAAAAAAACTGAATCAACGTGAAAATGTGTCACAAAAATTGTCAATTGATAAAAAAGACCATTTTTGACTAAACTTTTTATTTTGAAAAATTTCATTTATCTCTAATAATAATTATGGCTAAAATTTTGTCTTTGAATTCAGAACGTGTAATATATTGCGGACTCTATTGTCCTCCTGATTTGGACATAGATGTTTCATTGCAGCACGGCTTGTAAATTGACTTCAAAGGAGCTTTAACAAATTTACACCAGCTGCATATCCTGTGTTTTGCCCTTGTAGGATGATGCATTTGAGGCTACAACAGGTTGTTTTACCCATCTTTAATGACCGCGATCCTGTCATGTAGCGTGAAACGTACTTCATATTTATTTTTGCCTAGTGGATAGCACAATGGACCGGAACTCAGAAGACCTGACCCTGCTACTGACCTGCTGGGTGACCTTGGACAAGTTGTGCCCCTGCGCTGTGCCTCAGTTTTCCTGTCTGTAAAAAGGGGCTAATGAAACTGGCCTCTTAAGTAAAGTGCTTTGAAATCTATAGATGAAAAAGTGCTAGCGGTTATTAAGTAATAGGTGTTAGTCATAAGAGCAAGAGATTATTAACTAACTGTAATGGAATTTTTCCCCTTTCAGGAGAGGGAATAAGTCTTGTTAGCATTAGTAGGGAATATCACCTGTTCAACAGGGACACTTGACTCTCCCTATTGGAGACTCACACTGAGAAGAATAGGTTCCATCTCCTATTAACATTATTGGATGAGCTCCCCATGGGTATGGTGGGTGAAACCTCTATTAATATGAACGGTGTGTACTTCCCTTTGTAGTGGATGTGTATCCCTGGTTGATATTACTGAAGTCCATTCCCCCATTCATGAAGCCATTAACATTACAAGTGGCTATTCCCCATCATTAACATGGGATGTGGACTATTGTCCGTCATTCAGTGTAGGAACCACAGAAATCACCCTTTGTCTCTAGTCTGCCCCCTTTGCTTATTCACATCTCTGGAGAGAAGGGCTGTGATCCAGGCTATTTCCATTAATGCCATACATTACAAGGCTGCTTTGGTTTATTGGCATCAATTCTTCAAGTGCACCGTGTAAACATAACAGCAACGGCAGCTGCCACCAATTAGCACCAACGTCCATCCTATTGGAATAGCTATCATTACCACAGGAGGCCAGCTCTGCAGGGGGATGAGGTGACTCAAGGGAATGGGATACAGAGTCTCCCATATAATCTGTCTCTCGATCTAATTTACAAAGAACCTAAGTGCTGAGCAAGGTTAAAATGCAGAGAACCACCCAGCGCACAGTCTGTGCATTTGTCCAACCTACTCCAGGTGTAATCAAGGGCCTTGATTTTGAATATGATGTTATTTCTTTATCCTGATTTCAGCTCAGTCATAGGCTGTTATTTTGCATGTGCTGCCAAGTCTTCTTCCTCTCTTGCTCTTTGGGGAATGCTATGCTGAAGACGTGTCTTACAGAAATGACCTGAAAATATCACGGGTAGGACTCTTCTCAGCTGCTTTTGAGAAGGTGTTGACTCTGTTTCCTGCTCTCTTGAATCTCTACTTGATACACACCCAACGACTGTGGCTGCCACAAAGGCTGGTCTTTGAAATCACAATGGCCTAGCCCCTCTGGGGTTTCCAAAATCGGCAGCAGAACTTCAACTAGATCTTGTGGTTCACAGACAGCCTGTGCTGGATGCGGCATACTGGGATGTGAAGTGTTCTCTTTGGCTCATTCCACTGATCAGCATGCGCTTTTCCTTTCTGGATGTCTCGTCTAGGCAGAGGAGTGAGAGCTGCTAGAGTCCAGTCATGTATGAATTACAGCGGCTGGGTCTCCATTTGAGGGGAATGGGTGGAGACGTCAGGGTTGACCCAACTGCTCCCAGCCAAGTCAGTGGTGAAGTGTCCATTGACATCAGTGGGAGCAGAGTTAGGTCAATGCTGAGTACTTTTGAAAATACCTGGTTGGCCGAAGGTGAGAAAAGGTGCTTTAGTGCCTGCTGCTGATTGATGCACCAGGGTTAGTGGTGAATCCAGTGTGACCCTGAGACTGCGTACTCCCTTACCCGCCAGCCAGAATGCACAGTTGACAGAGAGGTGATGGCTTTGGACAACACCTCCAACTATTTACCTCTCCCAATTAGCATTACTTCAGTCTTCCCAGGATTCTGATTAAGCCAGCTGTTCTCCATCTTGCCTTGAACCTCCCTGAAGCCCTGGACGATATGAGGACACAGTGGAGGGAAAGGGTACTTAGCATACTGTTGACAGCCTATGTTGTCTCACTCTATCATTGAGGTTTGTACTAAGGTACGTAAGAGGAGCGGTAACAAGACCAAGCCTTGTGCAATTCTGGATGGCAGAGATTTTGGGGAGCAGGAGGTGCCCACCCACCTAAGCTGTTGGGAAGGAGTGAAGAAAGCCATTTCAGTGCAATTATGGTGATTTTTTTTTTCTGGATCTGGTGAGTTAGCACTTCAGAAGTCAGACAAAGATGCTGATACTGCTTAACCCATTTCCTTGAGGAGGAAGTCCACCAGTGCGAACAACAATGGCCTGAAGATGACTTTGAAGGATCCAGGTCGTCTTGCCTCATAGATTCCAAGGCCAGAAGGGACCACTGTGATCGTGTAGCCTGACCTCCTGCAGAACACAGGCCAGAGAACTTCTGTGAAATAACTCCTCCTTGAAGTACAGCAGGTCTTCTAGAAAAACATCCAATCTTGGTTTTAAAATTGCCCATGATGGAGAATCCATCACAACTCTTGACAGATGGTTCCAATGGTTCCTGAGGATCTTGCTCCAGAAGGAGAGGACTGAGACTCAGTCAGTGGCATGTTGTGAATTGGGTGGGTTATTGAGTGTTTCAGGGTGACTCATGGTGTCCTCCCAGAGGGAGGAGCTCACTATTTCTATCAGCAGAGGAACCAGGCATTGCAGGCTGGATTTGATCACCCCTGAGTGGCAGGGTCCAGGTGCCAGATGGTGCCACAGAATTCACTCTGAGCTCCAGCAGCTGAAGCACTGTGCCCAATTCTGATGAAGTGTCTGGTTTGTGAGTCTCCTTCTGCACAGGTTCATTGATCATGCGGCCGAGGAGGCTGCGATGGGTTCACTCGATTTGTTTAGAAAAGAGAAAGGAAAGTTGCTCACTGCAGGTAGTGGCTGGGCTTGGGGTAGAGCGGACACAGTGTGGGCTTTTGGTTGACTGACTATTCGGAACAGCTTCCAAGGCTGGA